TGTGTGACTGCACAACTGCAACCAATCTATCCTATATTAAAGCTGGATTATGTAGTTTAAACATTTTAAATTAACTTATAAATTCTTACATCTGACTATCTGATGATGTTCTATGATATAAAGTAGGTCTTTCAGAATTTATATTTACACTAAGCCCGTCCCCCTATAGCTTTTATGGGAAAACAAATCATTTACGTGAGTCTAGAGCTTTGAGGAATAGAGAGGGAGCTGTCAATCAACAAGAACATGCACCAGTTCCCAGCATGCACTTTGGGGCAACACAAACATGCTTCCCATTAGTTTAGCACACCAACCTAGCTTAAATGCTAACTCATTTTGAACTGAATTAATGTCAGTCTGTAAACTTCAAGTTAATTGTGGAAAAGGAGGGAGGGGACAGAAAACTGATTTATCTTTTATGAATTGGAGTTAAGTGATTAGCTACCTCAGGCTATTGATTTAGCCTGTTGTTGTGTTAGCAAGAGTGTGCTAGCATCGGGAGTGTCGATTCCTGCCTGCTTTTTATGTTTCCAAGTAGATTTGATTTACCCGAGTGATTAGCAGCTCCTGCAGAATGTGGTAAAGGCTGAGGAGATAATTCAGCAGTAACAATTAGGTGTGTCTGATCAGGAACATAACAAAAACATTACTTGTCTGTAAGTACTACAAGACTATGTGTGTGTGTGCGTGCGTGGTATGAGTTAGGCTACAGCTTCCAATCTCTTTCTCGTCCACTTTTTGATGACTTCACACCATGGACCCCAGATTTAATCTTAGATTTTGGTTGAATTCACCATGCCTTTACTTTCATTGCCTAACAATTATAGTTTATGTAACCTTAAAGCACTCAGATCTGCTTTCATTAAATGAGTTGGTGTGACGCTTGACATTAAAGAAATAGATAGGTCATTTTGAAACAGGGTTGTATAAGACACTTATCCAAAGTCTATTATCTACACTACATTGTGTGTTAAACTAGAGTGGGCTGAGGCTGAAAAGGGCACACAGGAGTACTTGTGATCAATGAAAAGCTCTGAATGGGGTCAGCAGCGGAACGCACTTCAGCATCCAACCAAAAAACACACTCAGAAATAATCAATATGAGCTTAAAGGCACACTATATTTAGAATATTTTGCTGCTTTGGTGTTTTTTGATAGGAAGCTGAAAACTTTCCATCATACGATAGCACCCAGGTCTCTTGGCCAACATCAACCAGAGCACGAAAGACAAAAATCCATCAAAAACAGATGAGCCAAAGGTCATGAAGTTAAATCAGGGCAAATTATATAACTTTAAATACTTTTAATCTAAACCATAACTGCAAAAGAGGATCGAGACCACGCTTGACCCTGAAAACAAGCCATTCTAAACATTTATGGTGAGAAATGCAAAAAAACAATTCATTTTTCCATTCCAGTCTTAAATTCAGTCCTCCAAACTAGTGCTCAAAATGTCAGGATCACTTGCAAACGTCATTGTTTTCCAAAAGTAAACATTTAGTTCAAAGGTTTTATGGATTTTACAAAGACTTTTCAAAGATATATCCAGATCTGAACCCTATTTGCTGTTCTGAGAGCAGCTTGATCAAACCTAACCTAACCAAAGTGTTTTCTGGGAGATGCTCCAGATGAAATTACATCAGATTGACTTTTTTATAAGCTGCAAAAGGTGTTTAATGCAATTAGAATTTTGCTTTATTTAAACTTGAAATAATAAGTACCATGCACTAGGTAGTTATGAGTGGGAACTACTAATGCATACAAAGTCAAAACATGTACCGTAAGTTATTAAAACTTAGTGAAACTAGTACAACATACTTAAAAGTTTGCGTACAATTTACTGCAGTTTAAGTATATACAACTCAGAAATACTATTCCAGTAAAAAATTCTAAATACTTTGTACTAGTTTGTCTTAGTTAAAGATACTTGTATTCAAGTTAATTTTGCTTTGTAAGCATTAGTAGCTTCAACACAACACGCCTAGTCCAATCCAATGGACTTATAATTTCCAGTGAAATCAGTTTGCATGCTTTTTTCAAGTTAGCAGAACTAATCAGATTTTGCAGTGTACCTTTATTGCATCAGTGCGCTTCAGGGTAGCTGTGATTACATTGTAGATCATCATCACCAGGGTGTGAATGTGTGTGTAAAGCGCTTTGGAGTCCTCTGACTCAGAAAGGCGCTATAATGGTACGGGCCATTTATCGTTTGATTTAAAAATCTGACAACATCTGCGCGTCCTGTGCATGTACTATATTTTACTATTCCGACAGATTTCCTGTTTTTCAAAAACAACAATTGGAAGAGATCCCAATCTTTTAAGCAGTATTTGCAGAAAGCATGAAGAGAGAGTGTGTGAACAACATTCGCTACAGTCTGTGTTATAGACTTGTGTGTAGAGCTGTGTATGCAACATGGTCGTGAGTGTAAAAGATAGACAGGGATCGATTCACATTCATCCTCTGACAATTAGTAAAATGCACAAAAAAAGCCCAAAACATTGATTGATGATAGATGTACATTAGTCCTAAGTGATGCAGGTCAGTTTAAATCACTGACCACTCCTGAATCAGCTGACCTGTGAGCAACCCGCTCTGCTGCTCCCACCAGACGACGGGCGCTGCTCAGACCTGGTTCCCACAGATCAAAGTCAGTCGACATAAAGCAGGCCGTCTCAATCATCCGGCCGGTTTACAGCACACTCAGCTCCGTGTCGACCAAATCACACACTCTTCCTCTGCGGTCACAAACTGGAACCAACCTGCACTCTGCAGTCTGCTTCAACACAAACACAGGTTCCTGTCCACAGCTCTGGCTCGCCTGTTCAGACCTGGGACAGCTCCAGGTGAGCAAACACAACTAATTTTTACAAATAAACAACCCAGATGCAGTTTGGATTGGCTGATTGGCCAGATCTGACCAGAACATCAGTGTCCAGATGTGAGGTCTTCGGGCTCTTGCTTAAACATTTGCTTTTGAGGTGTGGGGGAGGTCGCAGCATCTGGATGGCATTTCATCCTGTCAAACAGATCAGAGCTGCAGCCCATCAGCACGCTTTAGACTGACGAGCACATTGGCCGGCAGCCCTGGTTCAAACACTTCTCAAGTATTTCTTTGATTTGTCTTAATCATCCTTGAATAACGGTCAGATTAGTTGTAGCTGTTCTTCAGTGAGTCATTGACGGTGACTGACAGATGAATTAGATTTAATTTCCTTTATGTTTTTTTCCCAGCTGTATTCATGCAAACAAACCAAAACCTTTTAAACAATAACCATGATGGCAAGAAACTGGCACCAAAATACATGTCAAAGCGCTGGTTAATGGGAAAACTTAAAAGCAAAAATCTAATCAGTAGGTTTATTGACCAATGCTTCATTGATATTTGTCTGTGATGTCCTTTCCAGGTCTCTGTTTTGCTTACATATTCGATCTGAGTCACCTGATAACAACAAAGCTGTTGCCGCACAGCAAGGCGAATGCCAGTTCAGTTCCCAGTTACATCCAGTCTGCTTGGAGTTTGCATGTTTTTGCGTGTGTGGGTTTTCTCTGGGTTGCACAGTTTGAAAACTGACAGCAAAAGGAATGAAGATACACAGTAAATGTAGTTCACAGCAAAGATGTTTGCTTCAGTGTAATTTGCAGTTTATAAACTACAAGGACCCACCATCACACAGTTTGTCCAGAGGGGAAAGGAGTACATGAAGCTGGGTTTAGTTTGTGAAACACCACAATACTGAAATACAAACAGTTGTATGTATCGAAGTTTGCTTTAGTTTCATTTGTAGTTTAATAAATCGTCTCCTCATCACAGTTATTCCAGTGGGCATAGAAGAGGTTTATGAGTCCATGGAGCGGGGTTTGTTTTTGTGCCATTTGGAAACTGTTGTTGTTAAAGGTTTCATATTGAAGAATTTTGTACAACACTACGATGATAAAATAAATATATGGTTAAATATCGGAAAAATATTATATATTTAATTTTAAAAGTGATTTAAATAATTATTAAACACTCAGAAGTTTAACAAATTGGTACTGTCAAGTACCGGTATTGATTGGTAGGTACCACAAATTGGTATCATATCGATTCAAATGTCAAAGGTATACCATCCCTAGGGTTAGGTCACAAAAATGAATGGGAGTCAATGGATGTTGCTCACTATGATAGAAAGACAGACGTGTGTGTGTGTGTGTGTGTGTGTGTGTGTGTGTGTGTGTGTGTGTGTGTGTGTGTGTGTGTGTGTGTGTGTGTGTTGTTTGGGATGTGTTTACTCCCTCACTTTACACTGAAGTGTTTTTGTCAACCTCCAGCTGCACACACTTTCTAACAACCTCTCTCCTCTACCAGAGAGAGAAAGAGAGAGAGAGAGAGAGAGAGAGAGAGAGAGAGAGAGAGAGAGAGAGAGAGAGAGAGAGAGAGAGAGATGTTTAACAGCACTCAGTAAAGTGGAATGAATGAAAGAGTGGAAAGTAGCCGTTGAGGAGGTCGATTCAAAATGCTGGAAAGCGGCCAACACACACACACACACACACACACACACACACACACACACACACGCGCACACACACACACACACACACACACACACACACACACACACACACACACACACACACACACACACACACACACACACACACACACACACTGCAGAATGAATGAACTCCATAGTTGATAAAGGCAAGCAACAGATTTCTGAGGTTGGCACGTAGAATGTAAATTCAAATGATTACATTTAAAATGCTTCAAACCCAAACTTCATCTGAAATAAGATTCAAGTTCTTCACACACTAAAGTTCCTACAGAAAATCTAACTATAAAATCTGATTACAAACATGTTATCACTGAAATAACCCAGCAACAAACCTTGGGATTTATTTTAATATTCTATTAATAGCCCCCTAATCTTTAAAAAAAATCATCTTTCATTAGAAAACGAATTTCCACCAAATGACCGCATCGCTCGATTTTACGCACGGAATGAAGGTCAGCGACTCAC